TTTTCATGAAAACCAATTTGTACATTGATGAAATTTCCCGAGATTAAATAAAAGACATCTCTCTCTCTCTCTCTCTCTCTCTCTTTCTTTCTTTCTCTCTTTCTTCCTTCCTTTCTCTCTTTCTTCCTTCCTTTCATTCTATATCTCTTTCAGTTCTTTCTTTCTCTCTCTCTTTCTTTCTTTCTACACTGATTATTGAAGTCCAGATATAAGCTAAAACAAACATCGTTACACTGTTATAGTATCTGTTATATCTGTACTAATTCCCTAACTCCTTCTAAGGTTAATCCCGGAACTAGTTTTTGTTTCGTTAAGAAAATCGTTTCTTTTATCTCTTTTTTTAATGATAAAAAGTTAAATATCTCGACTAATTTTGCATATATTTTTGATTGTATGTCATCTTCTTTCGGGGGGAAGGGGTGGGGGCTGTAATTTTTGTAATTTGGGGTGAGGGAGTAGTAATATTTTCTTACGCATAAAACTTTTGAAGGAGGGAGGGTTGGTTTTCATCGTGAAAACTAATATGACTTCCGTCTTCAGGCCCGTTTACATGAGCGATTTCAGGTGCGATTTTTAAAAATATAATAAATTTTGTCATGCGCTCCTGGAGGAGCAAGGAAATTTTTGTGTCTGGAATAAAACTTTACCTCTGTTAATCCAGTTAACCATTCTTAACTGTAACCAAAACCGCCGGAAAAATCGCATCTATGAATCGCTGCAAGAATCGCCCGTCTTTATTCATACGTGAATAAGCGCACGATTCCAGTATCTAGAAAATTACAGAAACATTATCAAAGTTCATTGTCATTTTCATCGCGATATCGTGTTATAGCCTCATCAATTTGGTTCACTCCTTGACATTTTTACGAGGCTATTACATAAAACCTTTTAAGGCAAGCATATTTATTCACTCAAACGTTTTAAGTTCAAGATCAAAGAGCTTCTATGCGGGCGACATCGTGAATACGTTCTTCGATAATAATGAATCGGCTTCATAAGAAACCTATCTTTTCTATAAATATTTTCGATGACAGGAAAACGACGAAATGGAGAGCATGTTTTCGTCTAGTTATCAGTCTAATGTATGCTCTCTAATTGCTGCACGCTCGCATATGTAGCACCAAGGGTGGCGGATCGATTCCTGAACTCATTATCACATGTGAGTAAAGTTTGTTAGGTCTCTCCCTTGGTTCGTGGACCGGGTTCTCCGGTTTTCGTCTCTCCGCAAAACCGTACGTGCTTATTTCCAATTTGATCTGTTAGTTAGCCATGCCCTGACTTAGATCACCCCAGAGGT